ATCTATAATCCGGAAAAATCGATAATCCGGAATCACCGAAGTCCCGACGAGTCCAGATTAAAGACTTTTGACTGTATTTTCTATTTTATAAGACACACCTTGATTTTGGGGCATGAAAATTTTAAAAATAATTAATTAATTGGTTAACAGACTGACTTTTATTAGTATGCTTCATTACAATTTCATTACAATTTGAAAATACTTCATTACAATTTGATTTGAAAAAAAGTATTAGTGTATATTCCGCCATATAATTTGCAGCTAAAATTTCAAACTACATTTTTTAATTTTTAGGTATATTTGCTGTATAACATGCATAATTTCAAACTACTTTTTTTAGTTTTTAAGTGCATTTACCATATAGCGTGCACCTTTTTCTTTACGAAGGAAACCTGAAAGATAATGTACTGTGCTCTTATTTTTTGAAGTCATTCATTCGAAGATTTTATCCTAGGCTTTCGAACAGAGTGTACTGAATTGGTAAAGTGATAAGAGTAACAATATGTATTTGTGGGAAATGCTTGAGGGAGTAAATAATTCTGCAAAGAGCAAATATTGTATTCAATGCAGCTGTGCACAAGAATATTACTTGAGGGTTTCAAGAAAAGAGAGTCAATATTTCAGGTAAGAATTCACTTCCTGTATGAATTCATGGAAGTAGCAGTTAGATGTTTTCTCTTTCTATAATCAATTGAATCTGTAGTTTTGAAGCAAACATTGAAGTCAAGGAAGGAACAAGGATAAAGGCCAAATGTGTAATGCTAGTCTAGAAATAGTGTGTGAGTAGATAATAAATACATGGAATAAAGTCAAACCCAATATAATTAAAACGTCGTTAATCCAGACTCGTCGGGACTTCGGCGATTCCGGATTATAGATCATCAGTTTAAATCTCGTAAGATGGCATAGACAAATACTAAAATTAAAAATATGAAACCGTATTTTAGGAAATAAAGAACAATTATGATCTAAAGGGTATCAAAATTTACAAAAAAAGAAGCTTAATATTTATTTGTTTACTTTATTAAACATTTCTTTCAATGTAAGTTGTTTTCGTTTTATGTGATAATACTTTCTCTTTAATTCTATAAACAGACATAATTTCTTGTTCAGTTAAAAGCTCCGCTGTTCAAGTCCCGTAATTGCTGTGCCGAGAATACCGACTAACTTGTCAATCGAAATGTTTTCGTTTCACTAACCTCTCTGTCACCTTCTTCATGTCTTTATCCATTTTTTGCAGCAATTCCACTTTTTGTTTGACGGACATCGAGACATACTTTCGTTTTGTAGATCCTTTGGGAGCTCCAGAATCGGAAATTGACATAATCGAAAGTTCAAGTTTACTTTTATAAAATTGCTCTTACAGTCTGCAAAAAATAATAAGCTGCATCGAATTCGAAGATTAAGGAATAACGTAAGCATTAACTGAATAACTAACATTAACTGAAATAGATAATTGTATAATTTTAGCTTATACCGTTCGTTATACGTTAAACGCGCACGTGAAAACTGCATGCATGCATTCTGCACTTGCGCACATGCATATGCGCGTGCGCGTAAAGGTCTTACGTGCACGCGTAAATGCCTATGCGCATGTGTCAACGCGGTGCATGCGCAGAAAGTTTTTAGCTTTGAGGTCCGGATTATAGATCATTCCGGATTATGGGTGTCCGAATTAACGACTTTTGACTGTATATCTAACAATCTAGATGGCATCGAAGATAATTATTTATTTCCTGATCACTAGCTGCTATGCAGCCAGCCTTCGTCTGGCTTTTAAATGTACTGGAAAAATGTTTAAAGGGAATATCAAACATTAAATTTTAAAATTACACAGAATACTCTGCAGAACAATTTTATTAAAAAAAAAAAAAAAAAAAAACTGAAAGGTTTTAGATTTTAAATTATGTCCAAATGGGCATTTTTTTTTAAGCTTTTGTGTAAATTCAGTACAGTAGCAATGTCGCAAAATAATTTTAAAATGAGCATATCTTTAGAATTTCCGATACACAGTTCTGCACCCGCTGGAAATAAAAAGGTTTTTTCCCCCTGCCGTAGAATGTTGCCTTTGCTCGCTTTGAAATCATTGAGTTTGTTACTCAAAAATTCATTAAAGTTTTACAAAATATGAAATCAATAATCAAACAAATTCTAAATTTCAAATTTGGTCTTCCATATGCCCATATTCGTAGGAGGATTACATCATTCAAAATTAGATGGCTCTATGTACTGTTGTTTTATGACAATGCGAGAAATAGACATACATTTATGCAGATTTTTCATTATTTAATTTCTTCAAATATAATGCAAGACTAACATTTGGTGGCAACAGTTTGAAAAGTGAAACGGACATTTATAGTGATTCAACGCAAAACGAAAACAATAGTCCTTCAGGGACAAAGCCCCTTTGGACTAAAAAAAGGGGGGGAATTAAAAAGAAAAACAACAACAAAAATTCAATAAAAATGCATTACATTAAAAAAAATTACAATAAAATAAATAATATCCCTTAATACAAATATTAATTATCCTAATAAATAAATTAACCAAATTCCTGTTGTCTTCTCTCGACAAATGTCCAGTATGCAAGAGAAACATTAACCTTTAAGAGACGGGGCAGTTTGGAAAGGTTTCATATAAAAAGACGAGAAATCCAAATGCATTTCCACCCCCTTTTTAGCTGCCATTTTAAAGGGAAACTACTACACATTTTTGCAACTTTTCCTGTAGGTCGCCTTTGTTAATTTTCAGATAAGAGGCTAGGGAATAATATAAAAGAATTTGTTGAATTTGTTCTTTTTTCTGCTGTTTCTTTTCCCTAACTAGGGAAACATATTATGGTTAGATTTCGTAGCTAAATAATTGTCGTATGTTGAAATATTAACTTTTGACATTGCATCATAATGAAAATACGCCTTAGCAGCAAATGCATGCCTATAATCAGTTCCTAGTTTACTCAGTTTTTATTTGTTTCATATCTGAATTTAGTTTAGCATTACATGTACTAATTAACAATTTTAATTTATATTCGAAAATGATGTTCAACTATTTGTTTCTCGTATAAACCGGCAGTTTGCTTTTATTTGTTTCCAAGCATTGTGTAACAGCTTATATTTATATATCAAACAAATTCCATTGTTCTTATATTAGTTTCATTTACCTTTTCCATTAGTATTCTTATTCAGTTTAATTTATTGATTCCCCCCCATTATATCGTAAGTTATTGCATCTTTCAACTACATTATTTTTCATTGTTCTTTCTTGCAGTTTTGTGATAAAAACTTTTTTTTTTATCCTTTAGCGTTATTATTATTATTAGGCTGATAGCTTTTAAAAACGAGGCTTTGCCATATTGATTATATTTTCATTGCATTGCACTCCATTGCATTTTGCATGTTTCAAACAGCAATATTAAATACAAAAATACAATAAAAAGGGGAAATATAAAGGAAAAAATACATTTTTAATGACACTGAAAAGTTGGTAAAATTAATACTAATGTAAACTTGCTGAGATTTCACTGCTGAGGGAAACGAAAGGGAATTTATGAAACCCCACAGTTGGGAGGCGAGAAAGTCATAAGTGGCAAGGGAGCTTATTCGGACTATGACTTTCTCCGCACCCTGAAGGATGGGGGAGGGGAATTCGCTGGCCGATAATTTGGCCACAGCCGTCTTTTTGAGACACTGCAGCTCTGGCCGATTCTTAGCCGCCCGTCTTTTAAAGGTTAACTTAAAAAACTGCACAGAATTATCGCCCTCATTTTTCCCAGTGACAACGATGGCAACAGTGATATATCAGTAACAGTGGCTGCATGCCACTGTTGCTGATATAATGAGAGATAATTATGGATTTGATGCGATTTCATCAAAAAACATATAATAATAATAATAATAATAATAATAAAAAACTCATTTAAATTTTGAAAAAGGTACACTTCGAGGTGCACTGGCTCTTGTCTAGATGCACCTATGTACCTAATTTCATAGCCCTGGGTCTATTAGCTTATGCGCAGCACGAAAAAAAGACATACACATAGACAGCCAGACTCTTCCTTTTATTGTATATACAGATAATAACAGTGATGGTGGAGATGAAACAGAATTTGATGGTGTGCCTGATATACAATGTGCACCTGCAAATTTCGATTGTATATTTTATATCAAAATATAAGATATACTTATGCATCGTACACTGGAATGTATGGCATGCAAAGTTAATGAAATCAGTGTTTATTGAGTATACAATGTATTACTTTCAGAACTCCCATCCATTAGATGAAGCTCATCTGTGTACCCCCTAAAGTACACAATAGCCTAAGGTGCCCCAAACACATTGCATCAGTTCATGTTTATTGTTGAGTTTTTTATCCTAAAAGAACTCTTTTGTGCTTCCTTATTTTTATGTTAATGGTTACTTAAGATAAATATGCACTCGGAGTAGCTCCTTGGTTAAAAACAAGAAACGACATAATTTTACTGCTTCTCACAATTTGTTCATTAATGAATTGAGTGGGGATTGTTGTGAATCCCAAATGAAATTTCAGACGCTTTGGTTTTTTAAAGAAACATGAGAGCTTTGGTATATTAAGGGTTAACTCTTTGATTTCAACACTACAATTAACATCTCTGTAGACACCGCTGCTGCTGTTGTATAAGAATGGACCCATGTTTTAGACATGAATTTTTTAAAGAAAAAGTGCATCTTATACATTGGGAAATACATTATTTACCTTCTTACATTTCTGTAAGTGAAATAACTAAAAAATAAATTAATGTAAATAAATAAAATTGCACTGCATTTTTGTTTCTCAGCCTAATTGTTTTGCGTGATGATCTATTATAGTTATTTCTGAAGAGAAATTATGAGCTTAATTAAGAGATAAATTATGAGTATTTTGTTAAAGGCAAACTGCTGTTTAAAATTGGTGACCATTATCATGAAATATTGTAACCTATTCACAAAGTGTATGTAATGGGTCATTTTATTTATCATTTCAGGTTAGATAGTAAAATTTTGGAGGCGTTAGATATTAACAATTTAGTTCTTCCTCAACTTTTGGATGAGGAACCTTACTCTACTGAAAAAATAATGAATATACCAGGGGGATACAAAGCATTAAGTAACCCATTGGTTCTTTTAGAAGCTAATTTCAACTCACGTCAGGTCTGTAATTTATGTTAATTATTTATGTATTTAATGTACATTAATACACTACCTGACATTGAAAATGAATCACCAAGAAGGAGTGGCCCAAAAATTATGCAAATTTCAGGGTAGATGCACGTCGCCGAGTTATGCGAATGATGTAGAATGCGCAGCTCTCCAGTGCACATTGAGGAAGAAGAAACCTGCAGAGAGTTCAGTTTTTGTGCTGTTATTTCTGCTAAGGAAATCGTCATGGAAAATTTGTTCTTGTCTCAAAGGACGCATGTAATAGCAGAGAATGTCTGACCATCATCAACAGTGGCAGTTCCAGCAGACAGATGATTTTTACGAGGGGCAGGGTGATAGGACTGAGAAGGGCATAATTGATGCAGTTGGTCCATATGACAAATCTCATTTAACATACACCTGGACACATCCGCAGTGCACCGGCTGAGGTGACGATGGTTGGAACAAGGAAATGTGCCGAGTCCGAGGGTTCTAGTGCAGCCAGAGTGATATCAGCATGCGTGGATCAATGTATCTGCCAACAAGCAGTAGTGCCGTCACAATGCACTTCTACCTCTATTCTGTAGCATGTTCAAGACATCCTGGATGTTCCCATGTCAACCAGAACGTTTTGCCTTCAATTGGTGGATAGTGACCTGCACTCATGGCATCTGTTAAGAAAACTGCCATTGACCCCATATCATAGACGTCAACATCTGCAATGGTGCTGGGATTGAGCGATGTGGGCGACAAAGTGGCGCAGAGTAGTGTTCTCAGATGAGTCATGCTTCTGTTTTTCTAGTGATAGTTGACACGTATAAGCATGGCGTCGATGTGGAGATAGTTCCAATTCGACAACAATTGTGGAATGCCTCACTGTGCGACAGTGTGACATCATGGTTTGTGGCACAATTGCATACAATTCCAAGTCACCTTTAGTTGGTATTCAGGGCACTATGATGGCCCAATGATATGTGCATGATGTGCTGCGGCTGATGACACTCCCCTAACTTCAGGAGGTGCCCAAAGCCCTTTATCAGCAGGATAATGCCTGACTACCCTCCCCTACCTTCAAGGAGAGCCCAATGCCCTTTATCAGCAGGACTGCACACTGCTAGCATCAGTTAACATGCTGTGCGAGGTGTACAGATGCTTCCCTGGGCACTGTTCTGTCCTGATCTCTCACCAGTCGAATACATTGGGATGTGATTGTATGCCATTTGCTGACCCTGCCATTGCCGCATTCAGAAGATGAACTGTAGCAAATGGTTGGCAGAGAATGGAGAGCCATTCCTCAGGACACCATCCGCAGTCTCATTGACTCTTACTTATACATGCTGTTTCTTGTATCACCATCCAAGGTGATCCTACAGCCTACTGAGCTGACACTGTTCTCTCTCTGTATTATGCATATCATTCTGAAATAAAGATCACTTGCTGTTCGTTGCTGTCTTCTCTCTGTTTGCCAAGTTCATCATATTTTGGCCTCTCCTTCTTGGTGTTGCATTTTCAATGTCGAGTAGCATATGTACAAAACTGAATATTAAGGTATGCATTTTTCTTTTAGGATATTAAATCTCTTTTAGAAGGTAAGCTGTTGAATTTGACTTACCAGTGCATTAACGGTGGTAGTTTGGATGCTTTTGTTGTATGGTTTGATTTGCATCTTGATGCTGAAACTAGCATTTCATCGGCACCCAAGGAAAAATTATCTGACAGTTGTTGCTGGGATCAAGCTGTTTTCTATGTTCTGCCACAATATTTGGAAGGTATAGCTTTATTTAATAACTTTAGAAATTAATTTATTTTTGACTTTGCAAGATTCTAGCTAAATCTGCTTGCTCGATCTTTATTTGAACTGTGAAGCAATTATTCACCAAGTTCAAACTGTATAAATGACAAGATGTAGGAAGGGCGAAAAAGCCTTTTATTCAACTCAAGAAGGCATTTACAAATGCACTCCGGGTGTTTACAAACTGAGCTAATGCTTTTGGCTGCAACTGAGAATAGAAATATAAAGTTGAAACTTAAGCGTGGGTTAAATAATCAGCTGAAGCTGCACAGAGATGAGCTGGCTGTTAGGCCTAACACTGAAGTAAACAAAGCGGCAGTTAATATGCATGACAGTAAAATATCGCTTAAATCAGCGAAACAACATGGCCAAATGGCAGAACACTCTGTCTGAAGTAACTCAAGACATCCGCTTGAATGGTATCTTTCTACCCTACTTTGGTACACATGGTGGCCAAACATGCTTCACATGGTAGCCATCATTTTCAGCTACCATCTGAAATAATAAGATAGCTTGTGTAACTATCAATGAAAGCTTGTGCCTCGATATGTTGGGCATGCATTTGTTGTGATGCAAATTTTTAATTTTGTTCTTGTTATTTAAATATTTTTATTTGTATTTCATTTAAATTTGAAATTGTAAAGAGGGTATTTGTAAGTGTTAGAAGCTTTAGCTGGTTATTTTTTCAATGTGTAACAAGGATAGGAGGTCTTTCTTTTGAACATTCTGGACGGAAGTGACTTTTCCCGTTAGCTTTTATAATAACAGAAGGCACTATGTTCAGTTTAGTCAAAAAGTTAAACACCTAATTTTCAGGAATTTAACAATGGTGCTGTGACCTTGCGACTGGCAGACCACAAGAATATGTAGAATATGTTTTTTTTGAATTGTATATTTGATTTCTGTTTTGTTTTTGTATGTTGTATAAATATTATGTTTTTGATTAGAAGTGATGAAATGTTTTGTGCTCACCTAGATATTTGATCCATTTATCACTTAAATTAGAGTATTTTGTGAGAATTGCAGTTTTGCTAGTGAGTTGATTTTGCTAATTGCATTTTAAATAATTCCTTTGGAGACTTCAATTTTTATTAATTGGTTTAGTGTCAGAACAGAACAGTGTTCAAGAAATAGTAATTTTTTTCAACTTCTTGAAATGTTTTTTAGATTTTATGTAATTTGTACGTAATGAAAATGAGTTTTGAAATTGGACTTTTTTTTTTTTTTTTTGGAAAATCTGAAATATTAGTATATTAAAGTTAATTTTGGTTCTACAGTCAAAAGTCTTTAATCCGAACTTGTCGGGACTTTCGGCGATTCCGGATTATAGATCATCAGTTTAAATCTGGTAAGATGGCATGCAAAAATTATAAAATTTAAAAATATGAAACCGTAATTTATAAATAAATTATGATCTAAAGGGTATCAAAATTTTCCCAAAAAAAAAAAAGCTTAATATTTATTTGTTTACTTTATTAAACATTTTTTCAACACGCGCATGCGTAAAGCAGCATACATTATGCATAGCCGAAATTAGAAAAATTGCAACCAGAAAACTATTTGATTTGTATTCGTTGATATTTATAATGACGAGGAATTTGATTTAAATCATATCAAAGACGAGTACATCGAGATGAAAATACTACAATAAGGACTTATAAGCCGAATAAAATAAAAACATCTGCCCTGAAGATAACGATAGTGTTGACAGATCAACTTCGAGTTCATTGCGCGCCGCCACGTCCCCCCCCCACACAGAGCAGCGTGAAATTGATAAACAGATTTTGGAACGGTTAGATAAACAAAGGATATGCCTTTATCCATTTTTTGCAGCAATTCCACTTTTTGTTTGATGGGCATCGAAACATGCTTTCGCTTTGTAGATCCTTTGGCAGCTCCATAATCCTTTTTGACATAATTGAAAGTTCAAGCTCACTTTTATAAAATTGCTCTAACAATCTGCAAAAAATAATAAGCCGGGTCCAATTAGAAGATTAAGGAACAACACAATCTGCAACATTAATTGAAATAGATAATTTTAGCTTAGCTTATATCGTCCATTATACATTAAACACGCATGCGTAAACGCGTAGTGCATTTACGCATGCACAGAAAGTTTATAGCTTTGAGGTCCGGATTATAGATCATTCCGGATTATGGATGTCCGGATTAAAGACTTTTGACTGTATTTGTAAAATTGCATGGGGCCAATGATAGTTTACTAAAAGATTGATTGTATTTTTTATTTATTTATTTATTTTTTTTTTCAAGTTAGTTTTCAGCTGGAGTAAGTTTCTTGTTTAGCTCTTTAGAGTTTGAATAATTGAATTTTTACCTATTTTGTGAATTTTGTGAATAATTATTAGTGTCTGAGAAAAGTGTGTAAACAGTAGGAACAGTGAGTTTAGAGTTTTACAGTAGTTGTGAATAGGGAGATTATGAGAAATTTTTGGAAAGGTAGAATTGGTTTTGTTTGAAATTTTGGAAATATAGTTTTAAAGGATACTATTCTTATTCTGTACTCATAACTTGTGGCTTTTCAAGTAGTTTGATAGTGAGTTTACTGGTGAGCAGTGTAACATTTAACAGTATCTTTTTTTTTTAAAATTTGATTTGATTTGTCAATTTTGAGCCTTAATAGTTTGTATTGGTTTTTGAATTTCAATTTTTGGTTGAACTTGTTGCAGTGTTGGATTTAACTTTAAAAGAACTTTAAGTGAAATATGGTTTGGAATGTAAACTTGATACTAGTGGAAGTAGAATAGGTGACTTCAGTTTTGTAAAGATTTTGTAAAGAAATTTGGTTTGATTTTGCGTTTTTTAAGGTAATTAACTCCACTAAGTTTTGCATTGTGTTCCTGTTTTCAAGTTTGTTGTCTTTCAAATTCCCTCCTTTTTTTTTTTTTTTTTTTTCTTGTTTTTCTAGTTGACGCTGTTTGGTTCTGACAATTTGTGATTGCTCTAGAAGCTTAGTGTATGTGGAGGATTTGTGCTAAGTGGTGTTTTAAGAAGAGTATAGAATTGAGATTTGTGAGATTAAGTATTTTGAGATCTTAGGTTTGAGAAGTTTTTATTTTAAGCTCTTCTTTCTTGTGAGCTTTTTGAATTTTGGTACCTGCAGTTTTTGTAGTCTTGCTGTGAAGTTGTCATGCTTTCGATTGCTACCCTGTGTGCATTGCATACTCTTCATTTTCTGTACTTGATTACTCTCCGGAAACTTGAAACTTTGTTCTGAGAACTATTTTTGTGTCTTTCATGGAAGTTCTTTTTGATCGCAGCCTTTAGTTCGGTACTCATATTTTCCTGGACGTGGATTCTGAGTTACTCTTTCAACATGTGTAGAGGTTCGCTTGATGCATAAAGCCATGGGTATGTCAATTGTAATGCAATGCTTTTCTCAATTTACATAGACACAAGCTCTCTATGTTTTTTCATGTCAGTTAAGGATGTGGCTAACAACTGCTTTTCGTTGCGACTCACTTCTTTGTGAACTTTGATGCAGTTTGGTTTTTGTCTAAATTGTGCCAATTTTTTGTTTTGTTTGATACTTTCTTGATATGTGGGAATTATATGTGTGTGTAACCTGCTTCAGTTCAGTCTGTTTGAATTCATGTTGACTATTTTCAGAAATTTTTTTTTGGTCTTGATTTGTTTAGGAATTTGAATTCCAGTTTTTGATGTGTTAGTTTTGTTTTCTTAAAGAAGTACTCAATTTTTTTTCCTCCATATTTTTGTAACTGGTTTGGATTTAGTAGTTATCTGCACTTGTTTGAAATTCTTTAGTTTCAGTTTCGGGTTCTTGACTCCATACTTGTTTGCGCTTGGGAATTATTCGACGGGTCCAAACTTTTTTTTTTCTCTTTCCCTGTTTTTGAAATTAAATTGCTATTGGATTTCTTTCGTTTTCCTGGCTAGGAGACGCTTTAGTGTTTTGGGAATTACTTTTGGTCAAGTTACACTTTCTGAAGTGTTATCTGCTTGTTTCAACTTCTGTTTCATTTCAGTGTTTAAATCATTCAGGATTTTTTTTCTTTTCATGTTACTGTTAGTTGGCTAGAAAGCTAAAGCATACTTGTTTGCTCACTAGTATTTCATTTTTTTAAAAAAACATTGTGTGCATTTTTTTTAACATGTTTGTGAAAATGGGTTTTATGACACTTCACTCCCGCTGTTTGTTTAATTTGAGTTGTAATTAGATTTTGAATTTAATTTGTTAAACTTAATGCTTGTGAGTAAATTAAAATTTTTTTAATCACTGATCTCCGTCAGAACTAGTTTTTATGAGTTAAATATTTGTATGGCACTTAACTTCCTAGTGTTTTGAAATGCTGTTTTTCCCCGGTTCATTGGGAAATTGTTGTGTTGCGAATTTTTAATTTTGTTCTTGTTCTTTAAGTATTTTTATTTGTATTTCATTTAAATTTGAAATTGTAAATAGGGTATTTGTAAGTGTTAAAAGCTTTAGCTGGTTGTTTTTCAATGTTTAACAAAGATAGGAGGCCTTTCTTTTCAACATTCTGGAAGAAAATGACTTTTCCCCTTAGCTTTTATGATAACAGAAGGCACTAAGTCAGTTTAGTCAGGCAGTTCTGAAAAAAAAAAAAAAAAAAAAAAAAAAAAAAAACTAATTTATCAGCGATTTAATACATTGCAAAAATGGTGGCTTTAAGATCAGGTAATATGCTTGAGCTGCAAGGCATGCGAAACTGAAACAACATTCTGGCAAAAAACGGAAATGGGTGGAAGAGAGAAAAGATAAGTAACTGAACAAAACTTGTTAGTTTAAAACTGAATAATTCTTTACAACTTTTTTATGAAATGAATTACGTTATTGATTTTATACACTCAATCTCATACACACCACACACAACAAAAAAAAAAAAAAAAAAAAGTACCCAGAAGAAATTGAGCTGCAATCACGAAACTCAGCAGGAATGTAGTCTGTATGAGATATGCAAATGATTTAAATTTCGACAC